CTCATACATATCAAATGTGAACTCTAAATTGAGAACCATTGAGCAGTAAATTGGAGAGGAAGATAAGACATTTCTTTGCCACTATGCTAATTTTTATCCTTGTGATAACTGCAAGTGTAACACAGAGTAATCATGATGTAAGTGTTAAAAGCATTACCGCTGCACGGGAAGCTGTCAGTAACACCAGGACATAACTCCAAGTGTGTTTTGAAGATATGTTTCATCACCCAAAAAAAAAAAAAAAAAAAGTGAAGGGAAGAGAAGAGAGGGGAATACCAACCTATGCAAATAAACTGAGGGAAGCAAATCAGAGTTTTAGTGTTTTGCCAGCAAGATGAGCATGCGCAGATGTCAAAGGGGTCATTTCAAATGACCAGGACAGCAGAGGAGAGATGAGATGGATAGGCAGCGAAAGGGCAGATAGAGACTCTTGGAAATTGCTGTTTCACAGTCTCAGTCTCTAGTTTCTTAGGCAGCATGAACAACTAAGTGTGCTTAAAAAAAAAAAAAAATTTTCAAACATCTTTCCGTGTGTGCATGTTTTCTGTTTTTGCTTTGTAGGCAGTATGTAATTGCTTGAAGGGATACTCTGGAGATGGCAAAAAATGCACGTATATCAGTCTGTGTTCACAAGTAAGTATCCATTTAAGGGGAGTATTTAAGGTCTGGTTGTAATCATTACACTTTTGGGTTTTGTATGCATTCAAAACTAAGTCAGATATCCCCAGAGCCAACTTACATTAGTTTAGCTAATTTTTTAAATGTGCTTCGTTCAGTACATGCTTTAGTGCTGTCGCTAATTTAGAAACTAAGTATGCAGTAAAGGCTTTTCCTGGACCACAGCCTGGACATAACACAAGTGAGGGCTCGAATTCATCACTTAGTCTTAAAAAAACACTTCAAATCAGATCTAGAGGAACAGACCCTAGTCTGTAATGGTAAAACGTAAGTCATACCTTCTCAGCAAATTTTTTGTCTCTGCTAAAGTTTATATAAAAAGCCAGTATCTAATTTTGTGTTTAGGACACAGAGGGTTTACCAACATTTCAATGACTATTAAAAAAAAAAAAAAAAAAAGGCAGTTTCTAGGCAAGACAATTGAAGAGCTTAGTTCAAATTATAAGAAAGTGAAATGTGATCTACTACATGTTACCTGTAATGACAAAAAAAATAATCTACTGTTCAGGTTGTTGATGCTCAGGGCCCACTTCTAGCTGTTCTAGGAGCCAGGTAATTGGGAACCAAAGAGATTAGTCTGCAGTAGATCAAAACACGTATTTATTTTTAGTATTCTCTTGTCATTAAGTCCTCCAGTGTGATTTGGGACCATATCTCTGCAGCCCAAAGAGGAGAAACAATCAATTGTCAGCATACACATCACCTTCTCGGTCTGAAATTTTTCTAGCCTAATCAGAGTATCAAGTCCTCACATTGCTGTATCATTATCAGTGAAATACATGTTGGGGCAAAGAGAAGTTCAAGGGCCTGGGCTCCCTGGAGTAGATGTTTCCAGCGGAGGTCCCAGCCTGCAGGCTCACCTAGAGCAGAGCTGCCATGGGGCAAGTCAAAGAACAGAGCCCCACAGCCATGTGTAGGCTGCATCCCAAACATCCTTGTGGATGCATAATACAGAACAGCAACACTGCAAGCTGCAGCAGCGGTGGCTTAGTGAATAGGGAAACAGAGGAGATGAGATGGTGGATGGGAGAACAGGAGGCCTCTTTTGATAGGGAAGTTAAAATAAAATAAATAATTTTTTTTAAAAAAAAAGCATTCTCCACATCAACCATTTCCCTTCATTCCTTCCACAACACACAACATAGGGCTTCCTGTGGCATTCCTCGTTTTGTCCCTCACTTATCACTGCAGGCTGAGAATCAGCCACATTTGTTTTGCACGAGCTAGCTAGCTCACATACTGCAAGCCACATATTTGCAAGCAATGTGCTTCTCTGCACCAGCACATTGCTCTGCTTCTTGGCAAACTGCAGCAGGGACACATGCACTCTCCTGCGCACACTAATCCTTTGTGCTCTGAGCGCAGTGACAATAATTCTCACCCTCCCAGCCTGGCCTGTCAGCAGAGTTTCTCTAACCTTGAAGGGCTGCAGAGGTGAAAGAGCAAGAGCAAAAACAGAAGCTGGAGGAAGGGGAGCTCAAAGTTATGACCTACTGCTTCCTATGATTTTTGTACGCTTTCACCTTTTCCTATGCCTTGTTCCAGCAACTTTGCTTCCAATTGGCTAATTATGCATACTAAAAAAAAAAAAAATAAAAAAATATTGTCTTGAGAAATCTTTCTGCCAGACCAGAGGCTAATCTGGCTTCACTTTGGCAAAGCTTCATGGAAAGCTATGATAAACCAAACACTGCCAAGAGTCCACCTACAGCTAGCCAAATAAATAGCAAGTTCACCCAAATCCACTACTCACTATGGAACATCAAGTCAGGCCCCACTGGCAGCTCCCAAAGGAGCTTCTGCTCCCACTCACAGCCCATGGGAAAGGAGCCCCAAGATGACCAGCAACAGGTAAGACACCATGAAACAAGCACAAGGAAAGAAAATGAGATGACTTCTCAATTTTTCCTGATTTGTTCTTAAGTCCAGGATAGAAACTGATTTGCAAACTGAGGTGCTAACTGGGGAGCACCTACTTGTGACTGGACAGAGCTCTGAACCCCAGCATGCTGCCCCTGGACAAGGAACATCTCCCCTTAGCACAGATTGCTTCCTGAAGGCAGGCGGCCATGTGCGGTCCATCACCGCTGCTCCAAGCCTTAGGTCACACTGGTGGTGCACCCCAGGGCAGACAGATGTTTTAGAGGAGAGCTCATGTGGCAGGTCCCTGTTGCCGCTGGCCTGGGCCATCAGACAAAGAACAGTAGGCAGTCCTGTGCTAATGCTCCTCCAGAAATCCAGGCTCCTAGCACCGTAAAAGTGATTCAGAGGTATAAATAGTTCCCTTTAGTCTTAGTCAACGTTGCCTTGCCAAAGCAGCTAAGACTCATCACCAAGGTCCAGAATGAAACCTGTCTGGAAACCTGTTGGATCCTTATCACACCATGAACTGAAGATACAAGGAGGGAATTAAAACTACATCCTCTGCATGAAAGCAGAGGTACTTCTCATGAACCTTAAATGCTCTTTACTGTTTGCAAGAAAGTCTATACTGTCAGAAGTTCCAGTAAATTCTGGTTTCAAAAAGCTGTTTGGATTAAGTCTTTCTAAGGTATATACACTGGGGGGAAAAAAGTGGCAAACTAGAATTGTTCCATACACCTGGCAATGAAGGAATTAAATATTTTAAATTTTGGTCTTACAAGAATAATGGAGGCTGCAGTGAATTTGCCATCTGTAATGACACCGAGCTGACAGAAAGGACCTGCACCTGCAAACGTAACTATGTTGGGGATGGATTTAAGTGCCGAGGCAATATCTTCCAGGTAAAGTGCTGCATGTGCTTGCAGTCCCTTATTTTCCTTTAGACAGTTATTTAATATAATGGTTGTTACTTGAAACATGACAATTGTTTTCTTGAAAAAACTAGTAAATCTACCCTTAGAATTTGAAGTGAAGTAATCCCAATCCAAGAAACCAGGAATGAGACCAGGATGCTGCAAGATAACCTCACCTGCCTAAATAAAACAAAAACCCCACACCACAACTGATGGACAATCTTTATGACTGCAGTACTAAGGAGCTAATACTAGTATTTTTAGATTTTAAAGAAGCCTGTTGTCAGATAGAGCAAGGTAAGAAAAGAACAGGAGCAATGCAGATGGGCAGCATTTATTCCAAGCCACGTTCTCTTTCTTTTCCAAGTACTGCATTTGTTTGTACTCCACAGATGTTGCCCCATGTTTGCAGCACTGTTACAAAGTCTTGTTCTTGCTTGCAGGAGCTTCTCAGGGACTCTAACACATCTAGGTTTTATTTCTACTTAGAGGTAAGAAAAGATCAAGTACTTTTTTTTTTTTTTTTTGAGGGGGTGGGGAAAGGTGTGGCATAAATACCACTCTTCTTCCACCCCTGCTGCATTTCCAAACTGCAATGCTGTTTTCAGCTGCCACTCAGAAACATCGCAGGCTGCTGCTGTGTGTTGCTGGAAAGCCAACATGCACCACCAGTTCTCACTGCTTTTTGGAGACTGGCAGTAGTAATTCTCCATTTACCCCAAGCCTCAAGGCAGCACAGATCTGTATACTGGCCTGCTAGTCCAAAGACTCACGTTCCATCTTTGGTTGTGCTACCAAGGTTAAACTGATTTCTTCCTCTCACTTCAGCAGAGCTCTTCTCTTATTTTAGTTTATCAGTGGCCATTCCAAAGTGCCTGCAGTACCCCAGCTCCATTTGTCCCTCTAACAGTAATTAATCTACTCTTAGGTACAAGCAACCACGTATATCAGCTAAATGCATGTACAAACATATGCGTATATCCACTCTCGGCTGTCTCCAGATGAAAGGGTTTATCCGTCTTCCCTTGCCCAGGAGGAAAATAACCCCCTTCCACCCTCTCTACACTTGGTTGAGAGCTTTCCCTCTTCTCCTGTTCATTATTGCAGAGGAAACTGAGACTTGGCTATAAACCGCTATCTTCTGTTTGATACCCATGGGCAGTGGTGGGAAGGAAAGTCCACACCATACAAGACTTCCTTTCACCCTTGTGTTGCAGGGAAGGGAACACAACATGCAACAGGGCTGCAAGCACCACTTCCCAATGAGCAGGGCTGTCCCCATCGCTGCGTGATGTTACGTGCATTAACTCATTACTGCTTTGTCCTCTTAAATTTGGCAGGCCTCGTCTGTCAGAGATATTGCAGGCCCTGGACCTTTCACTCTGTTTGTACCTCACACAGACATACTAAACAGAGACCCACGAGTAAGTAAGAAGGCCAGAAGTTTTTGGTGAGCTGGACATGACTTTTCGGACTCAGATGCCTTGCTGAACTGCTTCTCAACTCCTCCACTTTCTCTGCAGGTCAAGGACTGGATTGCCAGTGGAACAATGGCTCAAGTCCTCCGGTACCATATGGTGGGTTGTGCCAGTCTGTTGTACAGCGACCTGACGACAATCTCCAACATCACCTCTCTCCAAGGGGACCCAATACACATCAACTACTCTCAGGTAACAGAGCATGAAGAGGCAGGGGACAGAATAACAAAACTATCTGCTCTCATTCAACTTTTTTTAAAAACACTAATGGTTCCCTTTCCTCCTCTGATGCACAAAAATAAACGGCATTAAAAAAAGACTGCCCATTCAGCTGAAGTGTTCAGAACTTATCTACTATGTGCAGAGTGGAGTTGTAGAACCCTTGCTTTGACACAAGTTATTTAATCCTCAGACTCTGGTTTTATGAGCATGGTGAGAGTCTGAAAAAGAAAAGGGCAACTCATTAAAACTGAAGCTACTCTTTGCTGCAAAGAAAAAATGATCTGGGCTTACTGTATCAAAGAAATTTGGCATTAGCTTCACCCACTCACAAGGTTACACAGAAAATATGTTTTTGTTGCATTTCCAGAATTCGCTGGTTTTGAACAACAAAGCTGAAATTATACTCAGTGATGCTGTTGGCACAAATGGCGTGATCCATGTCATAAACCAAATTCTGGTCCCATCACATATGCAGGATTTGCCCCTTAAGAAGGTATGTGCAGCTCATCGCCATTCTCATCCCGGGGGCTTTTCCACAGCTACTGTTAGATATGTAAATCATGTAAGTCACAAAAAACACCAATGTTACTAAAAAGACCTTATACAAACATTGTTTGACACTGCTGAATAAGCTAAATGTTATATTTACAATTCATTCAGGAATTACAGTTATACTGAGAACAGTATAAGAGGACTTCTATGCAGGGCTTTTACAGAGGCATTGATTTCATAATGAGAAGTGACTTACAGGGTGAAGCAAGCTAATACCTGCTTTTTAAATACCCATATAATGTATTTATTAGATACATTACTAAATATGTCTTTCTTCATAGGAAAGCCTTAAAATTGTTGCAGCCAAACATGGATACATCCTGTTCAGCAGTTTGCTAGAGGTAAGGACACAAGAGACAGCAGCTATTGGGCAAGGGTTTAAAACACTTTTTCTTAAAGACAAGAGCACTGACATGGCACATGGCATCACCAGTAGGATGGTGTTCAGTGGAGCCAGAGAGCTCACAACACAGTAGACAACCCTGGTCACCACGTGGTCCTTCTCCCACAGAGGTGAGGGAATATCAAGCAGACCCGTAGCCACCTTTCCCCTCCCCACTCAGCTCTGTCCTACCATATGTCAAACTATGTGGCCAAGGTTTGACCCAAGAATGACTTTTTGAGCCCAAAGCTGGGCCATCAGCCTGGTTTCAGTGGGCAGCCTTGGGTAATGAAGCACTTCTGAGAATTCAGTCATGTAACTCATCTTGGGCACCTCAACTTAGGCATCTGTTTTTTAAAGTCAGGTGTTCACAGGCTGGTGACTAGGCAGCCCACAGACCACTGCATCCCAGTTACATCAGGCATTGACTCCTGTAGGGTCAATTTCATTTGTGATAGAGCATTAATCCTCCACCCCAATTTTTGGTATGTTGCAGAAAAACAACCTGCTTGGGCTGATCAACGATCCTATTCACAAACCCGTCACACTCTTCTGGCCCACAGACGCAGCTATCCGTGGGCTGCCACAGGAGCAGCAGGACTTCCTCTTCAAGAAATCCAACACAGACAAACTGGTGCAGTACCTCAAATTCCACATCGTCCGTGACGCTGCGGTAAGCCCTTGTTTTTTAGGAGTATTGCCAAGACCAAGTCATTCAAGCCCAGATATATGCACCTCCTCTCTTTCCTTCCCAGGTGTTGGCCTACCAGCTACCCACATCCACCTCAATGAAGACCCTGCAAGGCTCCAACCTCAGCATTAGTTGTGGGGATAACAGGGAGATTGTAAGTGTTCACTCTGCTAGCGCACTTACCCCTTGCCCTCTGCTGCAGGATCCTCTAATGCAGACCCCACTGTGCCTGTGCACAGCCCCCAGAAAGGGTCCATGATGTCAAAACTCAGTTGATCTTCATCAGCCTGTGCCAACAGCCACAAAACCAGGGCAGCCACTCCAACAGATTCAGCAGCCTAGGTAGTTTGTAAGAGCTGGAGCTGTCATTTTCCCTGTTGTAAGATACTATTTGTTCAAAATAGCTCTCAGTTACCTCAAAATTGAAATACCAGCACATCTTAACTGCTCCTATAATGAAATACACAATGGAAAACTATTAAGATGAACCTGGCTTTGGCAGAAACCCCATGAATGTAGCATCTGCATTCAAACTCTGGTTTGTAAGCACTTGCAAGCCGAGATTTCAGGCATGGACACAGCCTGTTAAGCCAGAACAATGGCATATTTTTTTTTCCAAATGTACCAAATCATGCTCAAATAAATCCTGGCAAGCATCTGCCTCTGAAAATATGGCTAAGCCTAAACATGCATAAGGTAAACTTGTGGACATCAGGCTGGCATACCCTGTTGCCTTCAGGAAAGGAAAAAGATTTGCCCGTCTGTGGTGTTGTAGCACGCAGCTATAGGAAGAGATGTCCCCACATGCATTCAGAGCATAGGGAGGATTATCCCTAACACCCATGCAGGACCCGGATTCAGCCTGGCCCCAAGGAATGCTGGCTCACGACTTGTCACACTCCACTCTCCCCACTCCATCTCTCAGGGGGCGCTTTTCCTGAACGACAGACAGTGTAAGATAGTGCAGCGGCAGCTGGAGTTTGATGGGGGCATCGCCTACGGCATCGACTGCCTGCTGACGGACCCCAGCCTGGGGGGACGCTGTGACAGCTTCTTCACCATGGATTTCATGGTTAGTCCCCTTTTTTTGGTCCCCCACTCTGGCAAAGACACAGCCTGCGGGCCAAACCCTGTCCTCACAGAGACCAGGGCAACGCTTGCAGCACCTTCGGCACTACTGAGATTAAGTCCCACCGCTTCAGGCTGGCTTCATCTGCCGCACTGGTTTGAGCCAAGGTTAAGAAGTGCAGCACAACGCCTGAAAGGCGCACCACAGAAATTCTGAATCCATGCTAAGCAGCACACGGGATAAGCGCTCTCAGTTAAGCGCGGCTCAGCAAGCCCTTACCTATTTTCAGTAATCTTGCTCAGATCAGAGCAGTACCTTGCAATTCATGCAAGCATGAATATGAGCAAAGATGGATTTGCCCCAGCATGCTTTTAAATTAATACATATTCACACTACAAATTCGGTCACAGGGATTGTATTTATGAAGTTCCCAATTACAAAGGAACAGCACTGCTGTCCCAACTGCACAGGGCATTAAGACAGAGAGCTGTCTGGCCTGTTAGCCAGGCTCTCAGTCTCTCACATTGCTTGCTTTCACAGAACTATGCTTTAGCACACCTGAACAGGTACTGTTGGTGTGAACAAAGTTTCCTCTGTGAACTCTGATGTGTATCACAAACAGGAAGTTTTAAAACCCATTTTGAAATGCTTTCAAGACCAAATTTATTTCAGCTTAATTTGAATGTATGAAAAAATTACCTACAAGTAAAAAAGAATTCCATGTAGTCAGTCTTAAAAAAGCTTACCAGAGTTTAAATTTCAGTTATAAAACCGACACTTGTGTGTAACCCATCTGCTCAAGTTAGCTTTTGTTTCATGATTTTGTTAAATGAAATACATACGATTTCCTCAGATCTGGTTAGCACTTCCCAAGAAGTAACCATTTGTCTCCACTCCAAATTAGACATCCAGATCTGATGCAGCCCATGACAATATTTGTTTGAAGAATATCCACCATCATTTCCCTGCTTGTTTAAATCCAGAGATAAGTTTCTTCTTCCAGAACTTTTATTCTTTCATCAAAACTAATTTCTTGCATTTCATTGCATTAAATTAATGCAACTACTTTGTTGTCATTCTCTCTTCTTTCTCCAGAGTTCTTACAATGTTTCAAGAATAATTAGCCTATGCTCTTCTCTGCTTATATTTGCTGCTCTTATAAAACAGACATTTTATCCATTTCAAATAGCCTTTTGTTGCCATTATTTTAATACACTTTTTTTTTTTCTTTTTTCTTTCTTTTCCATTTCATACAACAGGGTCATTGTGTTAGCTGCTTCCGTAATTCTAAATGCCCGCCAGGAACAAAACCAAAGGTAATACATTAAAACGTTGCATTTAAGCAGTCTAACCTGCTCTTCTTTGTACTTCACCCAAGCAAACCAGAATAAATTTATTTGAAAAAATGAAAAGGGAACCCTCAACAGTAAAACCACACTGTTAAGTGATGCCATAAAGCCTCCAGAACAAAGCTGTCCCCAGGCAAACATCCAGACACTGGTGGTGAGGGGTGCTTGTCAGTCTCACACAGCATCCATTGTAGCAAATGCTTCGGTTGACTTTGGAGCAGCCCCTCCATCCTCATCAACGGTGCTTACAGTGTCAGGAATAAAAGAGAAGGTGGGCACCTCACACCTGCGCTCTTCACACATCACATTTGGATTCAATGTGCATCAGAAACTGTGATTTAAAGAGGAAAAACCCCAAACCTCCACATAGCACTCATCTTCCTGTGTTTTTCCCCTCTCTCTGCACTGGCACACGCAATGCCCAGGAAGGGATCCAGTGGTGCACATACGAGTCCTACGGGCTGCGGCGGGACGGCTGCCGTAGGAACTGCTCCATGGTCATCCACACAGCCAAGTGCTGCAAAGGCTACTTCGGGCCAGACTGCCAAGGTAGGACCCCCCTCCCCATCACCAGCCCATGGTCTCCCTGAGAAAGGCCGGGTATCGCCCAGCGGCTGAATGCGAGAGCTGAGGTAGGGGGCATGAGGAGGGACCAGCCGCAAGATGGGGGAACTCTGTTGCAAGAGCTGAAGTAAACAGAATGTACAATTGCTTTTCCCCTCCAAATAATCTCTTTTTCACATTTACAGCAAGTTTTAAACTCCATCCTAGTAGCAAACTAAGTGAATACTATAGAGAGTAAAGACTGCTCTGCTGTAACCAAACCTAGCAAGTCTTAATCAGTCACCAGCTGAAAGTTCTTGCAGCAAAAGACAGATATCAGGTTAATAGCAGTCCTACCAGGACACACCAGAGACACAGTGTATGATTCCTCAGCCACCTGCAAGCACACACACCACTGGTGTAAGCTCAGAAATTGTAGCTTTAACCAGGTGTGACAGTTGGGGAAGCTTTATCTCCAGCTGTTTGTTAGCACACACCGATGAACTGTGTGCTCCTTCATACCCCCATCCTGCAGGGGAACAGTACTGAGGCTCTCACCAGGGCACAAAGGGTCAGGATCCAGGCTAGGATCTCTGCTGGCAGACAGATCTGGGGACACATAGCCCCACCAGCTCACTCTGTCCAGATTTCACGAACAGATACATGGGGGTCCCGAGCAATTTTGGCCAGCCCAGCCTGAGCTGCCCTTTGGGCTTACGCCAGCAGCACACAGGAGGTGCACAGCAAGGCTGGATTTGTGCAGGAGCTGGGCAGTGCCATTCACTGATGGCTCCGAATGAGCAATCACCCAGGTAGCAGCACCCAGACCCAGGGCCGGAACAACACCTTTCTGACAGGAGCTGTGAAAGTGTGTCAAGGAATTTGGAGCATGAGGCTTTCAGTCACAAGTGTCACAGCTGCTTTTGCATGCCCCAAAAGAGATGCATTTACAGGCATTTCCCTGCTCTATGATTTTTACAGAATAATAAAAAATGAACAGTGACAATGAATAAACACGCACTTGAGCTAAACAGACACTTTTTTTAAAAAAAACCCTTGCAGCTTGTCCAGGGGGCCCAGAGACCCCGTGCAATAACCACGGCTCCTGCGATGACGGGTACACCGGGACAGGAGAGTGCCACTGCAACAGCGGCTTCAACGGGACGTCATGCGAGCTGTGCTTGCCAGGCAGATACGGTTCCAGCTGCAGGCGTATGTTTAAGTTTCTTTTCCATGCTGTTGTCCGTGTTACACCTAAACTTTTGTCAGTGATGGGTTAAGTAAACCAAGAAATGCTTCCCCCTTTCAACACCAACATTTTTCCTGAGTGCGTCCTCACAGGGGGGATGGCACAAGGTCTCAGAAGGGAGGAGGAAAAGGCAGCAGGGCAGAGGCTTACTTGTTTTCTCTGCAAGGCTCCTCTTATTCTTACATAGTACGTAAGTAACAAAGACTGGAGACAGAGCCTTCATCAACAAGCCTTTCAACTACAACACAGCTTTCTCTCCCATCCCCATAAATGGCAAGTCAGCATTTTAACAATACAGTTCCTCAAGGATTTCAGGAGTCTGAGGCCATGCACTACTTTTGCAGAAGGAAGAAAGAGGACATTGAGATGAAAGCGGTTTGTGAAGAGCAATGGCAGCAAAGAAACTGCTCACATAATCCACTGCATTGTGGTTTTAAACGTAAACTGGGTGGAATCAGGATCAATATCACCCTTTAAACTTAAAGGTTCTCCCAACATAAAGGCTTCAGATGGGAAGTTGCATTAACCCTCCCATCCTAACTGTGTGCACCTGTGGTGCTCATGATGCACATACAGTGGGCTTTATAAGCTAGATATCCTTGGGGTGGAGGCAAGACCCTAGGCTTGAGTGCTGGTGCTCAAGAGTATGCTTACCTGTAATTTATCAATTTTATAGTACCACATAGCATAAACTGTGTGAGCTGGTAGTCTCACCCAGACTGTGTTATCCAACAGAAAAGATATTTTATAACCCCTTCTCTTTAATGCATGTTTATATCAGCCAAAAATTACATAACCAGAGGGTCAAACTCCTTTTCAAACAGGTTTTCACAGCATCAGTTTCCCCAGTCCCAAACCCTATTCCTTTTTAAACAACAATATTTCAGGAAGAGGGATAAGGCAAGAAAGGATACTACTTCGTTACATTATAAAACAGAGACACCAATAATTCCTTGAGAAGGACTCAGCACGTAAGCTATTGCAGGGCCCAAAGAGTGCAAAAGAAACATCAACTATAGATTAAATCAGCCCTTCATGCTTCAGTTTGCAGGGCACAAGGGGTAAAACACCACATATAAAAGCAACAAAAGAAATTCAAAAGCTTCTAGTCATAGGAACATCTAAAACAAACAAAAATACAGCTAATTTGCCCATGTTTTACAGCAAAGGTCACTAACCTCGTATTCAGTTTCCTTACTCAGACAGACCTTCTCCCAAGCAGCAACCAAACACTCTCTCTCTGCACACCTTAGTTCTTTCTGGCTAAAAGGCTTCCCCACAACCAGCAGCTGCTGCACATTAGGACAGGATCAGGCTGGGTCTTCAGCTCAGCCATTAACTCCTTCCAGCCACAGTTCTTTGTCAAGTTTGCTACTGTACCAAAATGCAGATCAATACTCGTTTTCATTTTCAGAGGCACATTGAATGAATGCCAGTTATAAAATCATAGAATCACAGGATAATTCAAGTTGGAAGTACCTCAGGAGGTCTCTAGGCCAACGCCCTGCCCAAAGCAGGGTCAGCTCTGTGCTCAAACAAGGTTGTTCAGGGTCTATCCTGTCAGGGCTTGCAAACTTCCCAGGATGGAAACTGTCCAACCACTCTGGACAGTCTGGCCCTCTGCTTGATTGACCTCATGGCAAAAAACCATGAGGTTAAATTTATCTAAATACTTGCTAAACTATCTAAACGGACAGTCTAAGTGAT